TGGATAAAAATGTTGGATATAACTTTAAGCATTATAGTGGAAACATTTGTTGTGTTTACTTTCTTTTTCTAACATTTCTGCCTAATAATTTATTATTATTCCTGATTATTATCCATGTATGTGTTACCTGGTCTTTGTTTGACAAAATATGATTCCCAGTGCACACAGACTTACTTAATCACATTACTGAGTGCACTGTTGGTTACAGAGTCTACTTCCTTTTTAGTAACAATTTTTATATAATAGGATTATAATAGGATTACAGAATCAAGAAGTTTCTATCTAAAGTATAAATCTATATTTTACATGTTTTTTCTGCATCAAATTCAAATTATTTACATTTTTTCACACTGAATCATTTTCCAATTGTTTATTTCTAATTTTGAAAATATTATGTCAAATAACTATACATTCTATTTACTACCTTTAAATTAAATAGTGCGATATCATATGTGTGTGTGTGATTTGTGTGACCATAATACGGTATATCAGTCTTACCTCAAATCCATGTTTCTCTGAAGGCACCCATATAAGTCTCTTAGCCGCCCAGTCAGCTTGGCTGGAGGCGGAGAACACTGGGGTTGGTGACCCAGGCCCCGCCCCTGTGGACAGGAAGCGGGTGACATCATTAACATTGCCCCCCGCTGGCCTGGACATGGTTGAAGCACTGTGTAGGAGAAAGAAAGAGAGAGAGTTGTAACTGTTTATGGAGGAAGCACAGCACAGCAGAGAGACCAATCATTACCCTTAATAGAATTATAACCATCATCATTATGATGCCACTGAGGCAATCAGCAAGTCCATCAGTCACAAAGGACAGATAGGGCAACAGAGAAAGGCGGTGAGAGACAAACCAACAAACAAGAGAAATAGAAAGAGGATTACAGTATTGTGACATTTAATATTGCAGTTATACTAAAGGATCGCCTGATAGAGAGTGCCAGTAACAGAATGCAGATGAGAAAATATGCGTGTGACTATGCAAAGGATGTACATATCTGACTGCGAAAATACACACCCACATATAGATTTGTGTATTTTGGATCTTCTTGCTGAATATCTGCATTTACATTGACATTTATGCACTTAGCATACACTTTTTATATAAAGTGACTTGCAAAACATGAACAAAAGCAAAAAGAGCCAACAATACGCATAATATAAAATGCCAGGTTTATTAGATTTATTAGACAACTAGATTAGGATTCTGCACTATACAGCATTACCAAAGAACATTTTGTCAGGCTGTTTAGGATGCTCAAATATACCTGAAGTGAGCTATCCGTTAGTATTTCTCTTCATTTGAATGGCAGTTGTTCGGCTGACCCATGCAAATACATGTGATTTAATATCTGCCATCTTTGCTCATGTGTTCTAAATTCAGTCAGATTTTTTTTTT